CGACGTCAATAATATCCTAGAGCATATACTTGTATGCCGCGACAAGAAGTAACAACACTACCAGAGCGGCAGGAGCAGCCCACTGCCAGTAGTTTCTTCCCTTTTTGCGTTTTAATATAACTGTAGGAATCTCCGAGCCTTTTGCACGTGTTGCTCTATGCCTAACAATGTTCTCTTTGCGCTCCTTGAACTTAGGTGCAACTGGACTTTCAACCTTTTCCTCCGCCTTCTCCTCCTCAGCTGTCTCAGTTGGATCCTCGGTAGGATCTTGACCAGTAACAACAGCACCGGCCTTTTTCCTCGCTTTCTTCTCAAGGTCCTGAAAAGTGTTAAAAGCACTAGATAAGTCGAGAGCTAATGTAGATTTCTCCAATATGAAACTAAAAGAGAGTAATATCATAAGGAATCGGAAGGACAATTTCCTTGAGCTTCTTTTCAGCTTCTTTCTGAGCTTTTAATGCTGCTTTAACAGCTGCTTTCTCGGCCAACTTCTTCTTCCTCTCCATTGCCTGCCTATTTTTTGCTATTTCCTCTTCTCTCTTCATCTCTCTCAATTTTACTTCATCAACATCGTTCCGCTTGGCATTAGTATCCTCGGGTAGCTTTTCTAAACCATAGACTTCTTCGTTACCATCAACGAAATCAAAATCTTCTTTCAGAGTACTCGTGTTTTTGCCATTTGCATCTTTCAGCTCCTTGCTATTCTTCTCTTTTTGTACTTCCCGTGTTGAAGAAGCATCAAGTTGTGCGGTAGAAACGGGATCTTCCTTTGGTGGATTCGCATTAGTTCTCGGTGCAACCTCTGTCTGTGACATGGTCCGTGCCTCAGGTGACACTAGAGGCTTCTCGTCAGGGTTCCTCATCCTGCCATCCCATCCCTGCTCAACTGCTTAATGTCAAGCGATGATAAAATTCTCCTCTCGTAGTCATCTCTAAAAGCCTTATTAACACTCCAGAGAGACATGAAGTTCCCGACCTAAAGACATAAAAACAATTGTCAACACAAACACATGCAAAGCAAAAACTTTTTGTATCTAAAGATCTAAGTTGCTAGGACTCGAGTGTGGGTGTCCGATACGGCGGTCGTATCCTTCATTATCTAAATTTTAAAATTCGGGGGTACAAATACAGGTACGGATACGGGTGCCAGGATTCAGCTAAAAATACATCAAGTATCTAAAAATAGAGTTATAAAAATATGTCTATATTATGAGACATGTGGAAAACTTACAAGGTATGCTGAGAAGGAGAAACTATTGATGAAGAGGAGAATCCAAGAATGAAATAAAAGGAAAATGACTGACATAGAAATTTCTTTATACAAGGTATTCCATTTTCTTCAAGTTCACCCTAGCTTTTGTTTGTATTTCAGAAATCATTGTATCCGTCCCAAATTTCTCCGTTGATTTTGGTCAAAATACCCAAGATTGATTGAACAGCCACACCTATATCGTATCAACACGGGTGCGACACCGAAAGTAAAGAGTCCTCAACTTAGCTAAAGATTGGTAAAGGACCCAACATACCTCCATCAGCGAAAGTTCTTTAAGGGCATCAATATCCTTCTTATCTGCATGCTGTTTGGCTTTCTGTAACATCGTGGAGTTTTTGTAGAAAGGAGAATTCTGAAGAAAAATTTGAAGGACATACTTGTCAAAATCAAGCCAGATACTAATCTCTCTACAAAGTTGCAGCAAATGAAAAACCATTAATATTCAGATTATCAGATGCACTGGAAAATTTTCTGATGAATGAGATGAATTTGAAACAGTGTATTTGTGTTAAAAAATTCATTAAATATGAACAAATATTAAACTTAGAACTCAGTTATTATCACTTGAAGTCATCGTTCTAAAATCTAGAACCCATAACGTTGAAATCTTGGCTCCGCTTCTCTTTGTAATGTCAAAGGAAACTGCAGATTTTCTATTTATATTTCCCATGTTGTCTTCACCCCATGGAGCAAAACAAAACATAATAGATAACTAAACATCATTGTATACAATTCATAAGATGCTCGTAAGCTCGTAATCACGCATATGTTTACCAAAGACCAGTAGTGATAGGATATTAAACAGAAAACATACCCCTTCATCACGTTGTTTTCTCAATTCAAGAATATGTTTGTAAGTGCTTTCTCTCTTCCGTACTATTTCCTTCACTTCCTCATCCGATGACTTGATCTGCTTTGTTATGTCATCGATGTGATCATCCAGTTTCTTAAGCTTGGCCTTTACCGTCTGTTGCTCCTTGCGGACTCCATCTAAGTCAAAACTTATAAGCTACAGTGGATGAAGTATTTGAAGAGTTATTAGTTATCAAGGCATACCAATAGAAAGGCCAAAAAAATAATAGTCCGCAAATGTATATGCTTTGTATAGTAAGTATAAATTACATTCAATATACATAAATGTACATAATCAGCATATATGTTTTGTATATTTGGGCTAGCGCCTGTAATTATTTTTGGCCGGCGGGTCAAAAATGAAAAAAACCCTTCATTATTTAAGACTGGAAACCAGAAATTTCGCTACCATAAAAGTAAGCAAATAAATTTCAGAGCCTTACTTTGACCTGGTTTTGAATTGATTCCTTGTCACCTTTCGACTCCAGAATATCTGCTCTCGCAGCAGCATTCTTTTTAACATTTTCCCTTGTTCCTTCAAGTTGCTTGATTTCCCTGAGAATTTGCTTCTCTTCATTCAGAGGAATGCTTTCATGTTGAATGCGGTACTCCAGGCTTTTGATCTAATGAATTTCCAAAATTAAAGAAAAATATTATTAACAGCATGTGCTTTTCAATTACTCAGCTTGATACAGGTAAGTAGAAGCGGAAAGAAAAAGAGCGAAGAAGACTAAAGCTTACAAGATTGTTAAGCTCCTCCTCAGATGAACACAGACTATAACCCCTCTCTGTGCCGGTATTCCTAGCACCACGGAGCTCGCCCAAGGCATCATGCAGCGGTTTGACTTCCTTTCTTTTCTCATCAATCTTTGTCCAAAACTGCTGATTCTCAGCACTTAGAGATTTCCTTTGCTCAATGAGCTGAGCTCTATCTGCCTGCAGCCAAGGACTTGTTTAATAAGTTTTACAGTACACTCTTTAAAGAAGAGTTCGGGCGAACCTGCAGCTAACTTAAGAGGGCCTTGTGTAAAGGTAATATATAACATGCTATTTCTGAAATCTCATCGACGGTAAGCGGCTAAGGCAAAATTGAAGTGCTGGATTAACTACCATTGATGTTGAAAAAGGATTAACTATTGAAAACAATTGCTTTTACACGATTATAATGTATTCACATCCCTATTCATGTTTGACTATTAACAGTTCCAAGTTCTAATTAGAAGACAACAACGCATTGATAGTCAATTAGACTAACAGGTTATGAGAATTCAAATTATTGCAACTTCTAATTCCACTCTTTCAAACATCTGGTTTTCAATAAAAAGGCAAGAACATCGCGTTTATATGCATAAATGAGTTCACCCTAGAGCTTCATCTATTACTATTTTCTTCTGAAAATTTTTCAGTCATTTGTTTGAATATAGGCATGATGTTATCTTCATTAGGATACAAATAGGATTCTTCCAATCCTCAGCCAAAAGAAGATAATAGTGAAACTCACCCTTATGGCCTTTAACTTTTCAATAATCTGCAATCTTGCTTTGTTCTTTTTCTGTAGCTCGATTTCGGCCTGTTCTATTTTGGACTACAGCTTTTGGTCTTCAAATCTCCGATATTTGACAATGTAGAAAGAATGGACCTGTTTTTCTTGAGGCCATTCATCAACTGCATTCTCCCGGAGGCTGATTAAAGGAACTCTCTTCCTTTCCTCCTTAATTGGTTCTTCAATACCATGACAGCCAAATTTCATGGGATCGGTAACCCCGGCAACATGATTCATTTTCCCATTTTATTTCAGAATGTTGTTCTGTTCAATACCAGTTTCAGCTGAAATATGGGCTAACTGAGATGCCACATCTATACCCATGATTACTACTGGAGCACAAACCAGAAGTTGCTTTCAACGATCTCCGATCCTGAAGTAAATGGAACATACTAACTATAAACTAGCATTAGAGCAATAATGTCTCCGGGATGTACAGAAGAATTGACGGGGCAAAAGATAAATGTCAATTGGCGGAGCTTTACGGTAAAAGAAATACCTAGTTGACACTAGATTTTGATGTGAAAATCAACTACCGTGATTCTTCCCACAGAATCCTAGTACAACCACCTAAAATAACTACTCTCTCCGTCCAAATTTATGCGGCGGTAGTCAGATTTCGAGGGTCCAATGAGTTTTTCATGACTGCGATTTTTTCATGTCTTTAAATATTTTAAATTATTAGTTATTGTGACTTATAGTACTTTTTACGTAGTTTCCAAATATGTAAATTTTATTTCAAAAATCAAAGATCCTATGTCCTAATTCACGATCAAAATTAAGAAGTTTGATTCTCGAAATCCGAACTCACATAAATTGCCACATAGGGAATATGACAGACGTGCTCTAACTATGACACATAAATTAGCTGAGATACTCACTCTATGACACATTCTCTTTTAAAAAGAATATTTACACAATCGGACAAATTTTTAGGTACTTGCAGTTAAACCTCTTGATAATCATTAATTGGTAATCTGGTAAAAACAATAACTAACCTACTATCACAAGCTAAAATTCATGAGCGCAACAAATACAACTTAAATCCTACTGTCAGTATATATAACTTAAATCATATCTGAAATAGCAAGTAAAGATTAGATTTTTAATAAAGAAATCATCCATAGAATCAAGAATTACACATGCAATGATGCAAACAAATGCAGAAAGCAATAAAAACAAGTTTAAATTGGCAATAATCTATATATATATATATATATATCTATAATTGAGGGACTTACACCGGCTACGTGGCACTCTCATTTAGCAGCAAATGAATTTTCTTGCTTTTAGGTTTTTTTTGCACTTTAAACCTGAAATTAACCATCAAACCGCTTCACATACGCAACGGTTTCTTCCCGTAACGCTTCTTTTCTTTTAACAAAGCTTCTTTACTCCCTCTCTCTCTTTCGCATACTTATCTCTCTTTCAAAACTATATCAATTACTCTGTAATTTTTCACCTTTCTTATTCCTACTGAATTTCTCTCATACCTTTAACTGTGTTAATTTCTATGAACTCAACTCCATCTACTTTCTTTGTGCTATTCCATTTTTGGGGAAATCATAAATATCTGTTTATTCACGGTGCTACTCTTTATATTTTTTCCTCACCATATATATACTAATTTCGACGCCGATGAAGTCTTCCGAAGAAACCCATCCCCGGCCCCCGATTTCAGGAAAAATCGGTATTCCCTCTATAATTGCCGTTCTGTAATCCTTTCAAAGTTAATCTTTATCATTTACGCCTTATTCTTTTATACTTGACTCTTACAAAATTGTTTGAACCCTAATCTAATTTTATAGGTGGGGACAATCAAGGATACCAAAACACAATCAAAAGCTTGAGGTACAGTCCAAACCTTCTTCAATAAGTATTATGCTTTTTCCACAATTCATAATTGATGCTGTAATAATTCTGGAAAACTATCATTTTTCTCGTAATTAATAACTAAGGATCTAAAGATTCTAAAATACTTGCAAAAATGCAAAACTACTATGATTTTTTCACAATTGATAATACCTGTGTCTCTGATATGGAATACAAGAATACTGTATTACTGCTAAAAAATTTTCCGAACAAAGTTCGATAACAATATTTTTTTTAAGTTGATTATATATAGATTCTTGCTATATTAGCATTATTATATTTGTCCTGCTCAACTCCTTTGTGTTCTGATTGAAGAGCGACATATGCATTTAACACTGAAAAGCCTCTTACTCTTCTTCTTTCTCTTCCTACTAAACTCTCGCCTTCGGCAATAATATCTATAAATGTTGTTTCCATGTAGTTTAGTGTTATGAAGTTTAGACTATATTGGATTCTTATTATAGCCTTAGATTTTGGCATTACATAGAATTTGAGCTTCCTGGTACTTCTCTTCCTCCAAAATGAGCATTCGACAACAATATCTATAAATGTTGTTTATATACACTTTAGTGATATGAAGTATAAACTATATCAGATTTTCATTGTAGCCTCAGAAATTAATATTGGATATATAGTCGTTCAACTTCCTCCTCTGTTAGTATTTCCTTCTCTACAATTTGTTGTTCTGCTTGAAGCGGAATATGCATTAAACATAGTGGCAACATTATAATGATCAGGAAAATATATAGTTTTTTCTAGCAAAATTGCAATGCCTTATTATTTTTGTTTGATTGAATATAAATTGTTGCTATATTAGCATTATTATAGTTTTTCATGCTCTACTCTAATTTTCTGTTCTTTGAAAATGTTAACACACATAATGATCAGGAAAAAGTTACTTTTTTCCCAGCAATATTATAAAAATCATGAAATCTATTTTCCAAATTTCTCATATCTTGCTTTTTGTCCGTATCTAAGTGCTCTTTCTCTTCCTTCAAAAGACGCCCCTCTTTTTACTCTTTGAACGGTCACGCCACTCTCTTCATCTTAATTGTAACCAATCGTTATTTACTCTTCCTCATATTTCATCCTTGCCACAGCAAATCCGATCTTTTATCCTCACTTTTTGTTTGCTGCATTATGATGTATTTCTACTCATGTTTTTCTTTTATTTTGCTCTTTATTCCTCCAAAAAGTACAACTCTTTTAACTTCTTCAAAAGTCATGCCTCTAACTCTTCTTCTTTCTCTTCCTACTAAACTCATGCCTTCGACAACAATATCTATAAATGTTGTCTTCGCATGCTTGCAGTGGATAACAACTACATGAATCCGGATATCTATAGACAAAATAAGGAAAAGAAAGAGGTCACACCTTCAACAACAATGTCTAAAAATAAGGTCACGCTTTAACCAACAATATCTATAAATGTTGCTTATATATAATTTAGTGCTATAGAATTTAGACTATTATTAGATTCTTTTTTATAGCCTTAGATATGGTATTGCATAGTAGTTCAACTTCCTGTTAATTCTATTCCTCCAAAATTCACACATTCGACAACAATATCTATAAATGTTGTTTATATAATTTAGTGATATGAAGTTTAGACTATATTAGTGTATACGGTCAAAATCGATTCTCAGTCATAAAGACTGGTCGGGACGATGACGTTTCGATCGAAGGGTATCTACATGATGAGCTCGGTCGAATTCCGAAGTAGAGACGTCGAGCTAATAGACCGATCAATGACAAGACTCGGTATCATTATCGAGCCCATATCCAAATCGAACTACGAGACCATTCGTAGTTCATCGAAGATGCCTAGACCGACCAACAATGGCCCCGAATATCGATGCCCCAAGGCAGAATCAAGCTCAAACCAAGACCGGGGCTCGATCTAATACCGAGCTCGAGCCAGTATCAAGCTCGCAGACAAGAGCCGTTACAACCGCACCAACAGAGAGAATCTTGGCGAGAACCGAGGAAGAGACAAATCATCATGGGTCCTCCACTATATGCATTATTTTATTATGTTGTTATAGATAAAGCAATGACCCTCTATTATAAAAGGCAGGATCTTTGTTAGCTAAAGAGCGACAGACTGCAATAAACACATCCTTTTATCTGATACATTGAGATTTCTTTGTGCTTGTTTCGTCTCAACTTATTCAATTTCCCTGTTCATCATCCCCGTTTTAATAGTGAAAATATTAGTATTGTTTTTTTTTTTGTATCAAAGAAATTTGCGTATCCTTAGAACCATACCTAAATTTAACGTTATTCGATTTTTCGGGTAAACAGCTTGGCGCCCACCGTAGGGCTAAGGGTACCAGTGATTGTTTGATATAAATCTACAGGACACTCCAGCTTACAACTTCAAGTCAGCAATGGCTCTACCTATCGACCTTGAAGCCGGCCTTCAAGATGAAACCAACAACTTGGCGCCCGGGGCCGGAAGGTTACCCGACAATGGCAACAAGGCTCGAATCAAAGAACCCGAAATTCGAGCTAAAGTACCATTGGATGTCAATTCACAAATAGCTCTGGAGGTGAATCAGCGTTCCGAACCGGAAAGAAGCATTCAGGGTGAGGCTCGAACGATAGCCCGAGACACCCACAACATGGGGGAAGTCGGGGTCAGCTTGCGTATGATTTTCGAAATGCTACAAGCCCAACAAGCAGCGATAACTCAGTTGCAGAGCCAAACTCATATGCAAAGCAGGCCGAACTCCAACCCACTTCCTCGAGAAGTCACCCCCAGAACGGATCCCGTCATAGTGAAATCAAACGAGCAAGAATCGGGGACCGCTCCTAAAATTGCTAAATTGCTCGAAGAACTCACAAAATGAGTCGAAGCCAACGACAAGAAAGTGGAAACGTATAATGATAGGGTCGATCAAATTCCGGGGGCTCCGCCGATGATAAAAGGGCTTGATTCGAAAAAATTCATACAAAAGCCTTTTCCCTCGAGCGCGACCCCAAAACCAATCCCCAAAAAATTCCATATTCCCGAAATTCCCAACTATAACGGTACGACTTATCCTAACGAACATGTCACCTCCTACACATGTGCCATCAAAGGCAACGATTTGGAAGACGATGAGATCGAATCCGTGTTGTTGAAAAAGTTCGAAGAGACCCTCGCAAAGGGAGCAATGATCTGGTATCACAACTTACCACCAAATTCCATCGATTCTTTTGCCATGTTAGCAGATTCGTTCATAAAAGCACATGCTGGTGCCATAAAAGTTGCAACAAGGAAATCAGACCTCTTCAAAGTGAAAAAAGGGGTAACGAAATGCTGAGAGAATTCGTATCCCGATTTCAAATGGAACGTATAGATTTGCCACCGGTCACAGACGATTGGGCCGTACAAGCTTTCACCCAAGGGTTGAACGAGCGAAGTTCGACAGCATTACGTCGGCTGAAACAAAATTTGATCGAGTACCCAGCAATAACTTGGGCAGATGTACACAACCGTTATCAATCGAAAATCAGGGTCGAGGATGATCAATTGGGAGCTCCGTATGGACCCGTGCATCAGAACCACACAACCACTAAAAATCAGAGGGAGATCAATAGAGAACAAAGGTCGAACAGAGACCGATATCAATCATACGTCACAAATCGGGTGAACAACGGTTCAGCACGTGATACAGTTCGGAACTATCGAAGGACTGATAGAGGGAAAAATTCTCGGGGACTTATGAGCAAGAGCGGCTTTGATAAATATGCTGATCCTATAGGAGTTCCTCGATTATCGGAATATAACTTCAACATTAATGCATCCGCCATCGTGTTGGCTATCAGACGCATCAAAGACACCATGTGGCCTCGACCCATGTAGATCGATCCTGCCCAAAGGAATCCCAATCAAATGTGCGAATATCATGGCACCCATGGCCACAGGACGGAAGATTGTAGGCAATTAAGAGAGGAAGTAGCCCGCTTATTTAACAAAGGGCACCTTCGGGAATTTCTGAGTGATAGGACGAAGAATCATTTCAAAAGCAAGGACTTCGGCAAGAAAAACGAGCTAGAAGAACCGCAACACGTCATTCACATGATCATCGGCGACGTCGATACCCCTCAGGGACCAGTGCTTAAACGCACTAAAACATCGATTGTGAGGGAAAAGCGATCTCGAACTCAAGATTACACACCCATAGGGACTTTGTCTTTCAATGATGAAGATGCAGAGGGAATCACCCAACCCCATAACGATGCACTGGTAATATCCGTACTCATGAATATAATTAAAATTAAGCGTGTGTTAATTAATCCAGGTAGCTCGGCCAATATCATCAGATCGAGGGTCATAGAACAGCTCGGCCTTCAGAACCAGGTCGTACCCGCAACTCTAGTAATACAATAACTACTAACCCTCAATCCCAAACTAGTTGGGATCAACTAAATACTCAATATTCCCCTGAATTCAATCAAAAAATAGAACCCTTAGCTTATTTCAATTGTTTTGAAAAAAAAAAACAAAAAACATGAAGGCCGGAGACTTACCAGTAATAGGAAAAACTAAGGCAAAGAATCTTAAGGAATTGGAGAAAGCCGTGAGAAAGAGTAATTCAAAGAGACAGAAATAACTAAATAGATTTTAACTAAGATGGAAAGAGATTTATGGAGATTATAGACTTTGTAGTAATGTTGGAATAGGAATGTGAGAACAATTTTTTTTGTTTTTGTTTTTGGTTAATCCAAATTTGCGGAAAAGCTTATTTAAGTGGAAAGTGTTCCAACCGAACTTTTTCAAGAAATTACACTAGACGAACCTTTTTTGAACCATATTTACATTTTGATCCCGTTAAAAAACGTTATAGAAAAATAGCTCCATGTTAGAATTTTAAATATATGTCGCCAGAATTTTGAAGTACTGGGACTTTTAATGATCACCAGATTTTTCGGCCATAATGCTGAGAAATTTTAGTAATACGTCAGGATTTTTGGCTAAAATTATGCCCGGT